CTTCCTTAGCTACTGGGAGGGCACCGAAATGTAAGCTGCATATAGTCTCAAAAGACTTGAAACACTATCACCCTATGCGAACCTTTATCCATACCAGTGTTGACATTTTCCAGGTCCCCATAATTCTAGTTATAAGCACACTATTCAAGGGACTTCTATATCTCTAAGTGCCACACTAGCTATACCTTTACTCTTATGGACCTTCAAATAGCTCCTTGCCCTTCCCCATACCATAATTCCACTTTCCTCACTCAAAAACTTCTCCATCACTTACATACCCTGGTTTTACTCCACTCATTTAGTCACACTCCACACTTTGTCACAAACACACCTGAGAATTAGAATTCACTACTGCCATACCAAACGCAATCACTGGGGATAAAGAAACAATTGACACTGTTTAGGTAACCCATGAATTTCTTGTGGACATGCCTAACAGCTACAGGCTGTTATAGTATATAGTAATATATACTACAATATAGTATATGATATAGTATATAATATAATTATGATATATAATATAGTAATAAATAGCAAAATAACATGACCCAGGCTCCTTCGCAAATCAGCCTGCCTTTCAACTCAGGTGGCCCCGTAGTCTTCACAGAGTGTTTAGAAGAGAGGAAGGGAGGAAAGGGTGGGAGAAGGGAGAGGATGAAGGAAGGAATAGAGGAGGGATAAGGATAGAATCTTGGAAGATGCTCTCAGGGAAGTGAAAGGAAGAAAAGGAACCAGTGAAGGAGACCAAGAAGTGGTCAGGGAAGTAGGAGAAGAAAAAACTGTGAAAGAAGCCAAAGGAGAAGAGAGAATCAAGAAGGAAGGAGTGTTTATTAATGTCAATATTTCAGAGAAGTCTAAGAGGATGAGGACTGAGAAGACACTGTACTAGGAAGTATATATATACATTCATACATACATACATCACTGTGTAAGTGCACACATAATAGATATATCATTGAAAAGATTGTGAAGTAAAATTAAATTGCATTTATTTATTCCTATTAAAAATCAGAGATGGAGTCCCCTGGGGGAAAAAATGGACTTTCAGAGTGAAAGCATGTCCTCTCAACTTCTAGTTTGCCTCCAATGATGTGATTTTGCATCCTTGTACAGCACCCAGAGAGAAGACTAGAGTTCAAGTAGGCTGGGGTGGGGAGAGTGAGTGAGGGGTTGAGGATGATATGGATGTCTGGGAGGATGATAGTAGCCTGGAAAATTATTGGGAAGTTAGGAAGAGATGAGGGTTTGGGGGGGGTGCAGATGAGTTCACTTTTGGACATGTTGAGTTTAAGATATCTATTGGATATCCAGTTTGAGATGTCTGGTAGGTGGTCTGGGAATGTTTCACAGGAGAGCAAGGCCTTGGGGCCCTGGGGATGAAGTAAGAAAGACTTTTTCTCCTCCAGAGAACATAAAAGATGTTTTAAAAGAGGTTGCTCAGCCTGGGTGGTGGATTCAGGGTAGCTCAAAGCAATTGGCCACAGGTAGCCTCTGAACAAAACTATTTAATGCTACTTTGGAACCTCTGTGAGCAGAGACCATTCATAATTGTAAAGTAGATTGACTTGTGACAGTCATTACCTATAAATCATCCTCATCCTAAAATTCCTGTCATTGTTGTAGTAAAATTTAGCTTCATGACCATGTGTTGAACAGTGTGATAGCACGTAATTCTGGAAGAAAAAGAAAAAATGATGAAGCCTGGGACTCAGGATGTGCCTTTTAATGACAGAAAGCTCCCTCCATTTTGCTCCTGAGGATTTCAGTACTCCTGGGTCATTGGACATAGTGGGATAAGTCAGGATGACTGAGATGTAAGAATCTATTTCATCAGACCAAGATTTAATGAAATTATTCTTGGCAGCAGTTCTTTTAGGGAACAAATTTAAAGAAAAAATATTAGTGTGATTAAATTAATAATGCCCAAAACAAGTAATAGTGGAGTGGGAAGAGCACGGTGCTGGGAGTTAGGAGAGCTGGATTTTCATTCCAGCTCTGCCACTAACTAGCTGTGTGACATCATACAATTACCTTCACCTCCCTGGGCCTTGATTTCCTCATCTGTCAAATGATGGGTTGGACTCGATGATCTTTAAGACTTTTTCCAGTTCTGACATTCTGTGATTCTAAGTCACTTAATAAGAGTACTGTAATAGAACCTGTCAAAAGCTGTTATAATCATTCAGAGGTGGTGGTACAGTGATACTGAATATGCCAATCCCGAATCAGTTGATAGGAGAGGCTAGGTGGCACAGTGGCCAGACTGATGGGTCTCATCTTCCAAAGTTCAAATCTGGCCTCAGATACTTACTAGTTATGTGACCCTGGGCAAGTCACTTAAGCCTCTTTGCCTCAGTTTCCTCATCTGTGAAGTGAGCTGGAGACGGAAATGGCAAAGCACTCCAATATCTTTGCCAAAAAACAAAACAAGTGGAGTCACAAAGAGTCAGACATGACTGCAATGACTCAAAAACAACAAAATCAGTAATGACTTATCCAGTTTTCACTTGCTTCAAATGTACTTAATATTGGTGGATTTTTATATTCAGGGAAATGACTTCATGCTTTCTTTTTTACGTTCAAAAAATTACTTGAATTTTTCTTCTAGAGGTTTTGTCCTGGTTGACCTAACATTTTTTTCTTCTATATTCTTCTTGCTGTCATGGCAACCCGTACGTAAACTTTTTTAATCTTTTTGAGTGAGACTATGTCTATACTGGTCTACAAAATGGACAAATATGTATTTGGCTAGAAAGCTTTTTGCAAGTATTGAGAGTATAATAGTGAGACTGGCCAATGACGACCCAGTTCTTAGAGCATGTTCTGATTTGATCTTCCTGTTGGGTTGTATAAATTGTGTTCTAAGGACTAGGTCCTCATTGGCCAATCCCCCCAGTACCTGAGGAAGAATCCCAATCCTTCCTCCTACCTTAAATTCCCTATTTCTTCCTTCCATTTCAAATAATAGATGTGAAAGCCCTTTGGAAAGGAAAAAGCACAACATCAATACAGTATCATTTTATTTTACTAGTTTATTTATTACTATTTATCATCATTACTATTTTAAACTCTTATTTTTATTATTACTATTCATTGCTATTATTATTCAGTTGCACTAGTGCCAGAATTCTAAAAAAAATCTGAAGTACTCCTCCTTCCACAAGATTATCTTCAAATTGCCTTTTAGCCCTTAGAGGCAAGTAGCTTCTGACCATTTCTTTTCACTTGACCTATGGGGGGGGGGGGGTTCTGTTAGTATGGTTAGTTGGAGCAAACAGAAGGAATAGAAAGAAGAAAACCAATTCAGAGGAAAGAGGAAAATTAACTGGGAAAGCAGGAGGGTGCTATAAACCAGAAAAAGAGACCACAGAGAGAGATGAAAACCAGATTCAGAATTCTGTAAAAGCAAACAACCCAACATGTACTAAATTAATGTCACATTTTGTAATTTACTTTGTTGCAAAATCCTGAGTGTTGAGCTCCTTTAAAAGAAGGGTTACCAGTTTTAAACAATAACTCCCTTAGATGTATAGTGGGAGGAACAAAGTAGCTCAGTGACGCATGAAAATCTAACGACTCTGTCAGGTTGGAGCTATTCTTGGGGCTGTGGTCCCTAGGCATGCTGATATCAGCATTAATGATTCAAAAGAGTATTCAAGAAGGTAGACATGGTACTTTTGTGAATTTCCTTTGCTAGATGACAACAAGAGAGAACAAGATGGCATATGTGCCAAAGGGCTAGATTAATCACCCATTCATTTTGCTGGGTCTGATACACATTCAGGTGTGTACTTCTCTTGAAATTGTAGCCCCAGTCTGGTTGGGGCTTGAGTCTTATTCACTGACTCAGCTTCCTTCTGGTGTTTTGAGGTGATTGATGGGAAAACTTGAGTGGCTCCTGGGCACTCAGTTGTGATTGCCAGAATGAGAGAGCACAGCTTTGCACTTATGAGATACAGACCACAGAGTGGAAATTGCTCACAGATGAGCAGTAATTTCAGGGCACTGTGACTTTTTTCCGTCGGTCATCTGCTATGGTGAGAGGCCTGTTCATTGTTTGAAGCACCTGACATCACTCTGTAACACAGTGGGAATCAATGATCTCTTGGGAGAAGGAGGAAGGGGTGTCAGAAATAATTTATGAAGAAAAAAGCATATTGAAAACTTATGATTTGGTTTTGTAATACTCTATAGTTGGCTGTGTTTGGGGAGTTGGGCTACTATGTGGAGAAAGACAGACAGAGAAACGTGAACAGGGAAGTTTTTCTGGAATGGTCCAGAAGAGTCTTGGCTTTTGTTTCTGTAAAACTTCATTGAATCAACCATTTCCATTTAGTGCAGTATCTCTGGCATTAACATATTCAGAGGATGGCTGGGGTAGAGTCCAGTATAATATTCCATTGGCTGCCAACTTTCCAGAGTAATAATAATGAAAGTTGAACCTCTGTTGGGAATGAATCTGCATGGGAAAGGGTGCCTTTCAGAATGTCTTCTGCCCCAAACTTTTAAGAAAAGTTGTTCAGGGAAAAATCATTTAAATAAAACAAGTGAAATTATAGCAGACACAAAAAGCATGTCAGAGTATTTGAAGCCAAAGCATGTCAGATGATATTATTTCCTAGCAAACAAGAAATTAAAAGATTTATTCTTTAATTTTAAGAAATGGAAGACAGAATTTAGGGAACTTAATGATAATGGTCAAGTTTAATTACTTGGTTTCTTTCAGGAAAATTAGATGAAAATGAGTCATTTATTCATGGGAAACATGGACAGGAATAAGTCATTTGCACCCTACATAAAGATACGCATAATAAGAACACAGATCTAGTCAGAGCTATGTACAGTTTATTTAACTTAACTAGTCTTTACTTAAAAGACAGTGTTTTTCTTATTCACAATCTTTTTTCTTAATGGGGTGTTTGGTCCTTCCTTCAAAATGCCTTCAATATGTCCAATGTGATGCTCAACAAACCTCATGTGTTTTGTCTTTTATTTAGCAGGTTTCAACAGCGGAAGTACGCATTGGGCCGATGAGACTGACACAAGATCCTATTCAGGTATGACTTAATTTCATCAGGTCTTGGGTGTGGAAGATTGGAGTATCAAGGTTATATGAGCCACACGGAATTAATTATATTAGTGCGTTGGGCAGGTCATCCTGGCCTTTCCCAGTGCCTAGCCTGGTGCTGGGAATGCAGCAACATGTCTCTTTAGTAAATGTTGAATTAAAATTTGAATTCCAGTTCATGTTGCTAAGTGAGAAAACAGTAGACGTGGAAATTCTTTGAAAAGTTAAAATCTCAGGGCAGCTAGGTGGCACAGTGAATAGAGCACCAGCTCTGAAGTCAAGGGGACCCGAGTTCAAATCTGGCCTCAGAGCTGTGTGACCCTGGGCAAGTCACTTAACCCCAGTTGCCTAAAAAAACAAAAACAAAAAACAAAAAACAAAACAAAAAAAAAGAAAAGTTAAAACCTCCACATTGATGTAAGAAGGCTCAAGGAGGAGGACAGAAGGACCTCATAATATTTGAAGATAAGCCAGCCATGTGGAATGGGTGGACAGGGAGCACAGGACCAGGACAACTCTTCAGTTATAAGTGATCTGTACCACAATGGAAGGACAAAGATCAACTTTGTCCTCAGACCGTGTAGCCTGAAAAAGAGGTGTATGCTAGGTAACAGCAAGGCAGGACCACCTTCAAAACTGTTGAAACAACCTAGATGGCAGGATCCAAATCCAACTGTTATCATTCTAAGGGCCTGGTCTGCTGTAGCCAACAGTTGTATCCCATTCTCAGTATGGTTCTATGGGAATAATATCAGTAAGAGGGAGGACTTGGTGGATTTCATGTTGTTTCATGATCACTTTCCCATCCTAGAGTCTTCTCAAGCAACACCTGGGACATAAACAGAAGACATAAAAGTAGAGAATTTAATAAACACTGCTGATCTTCAAGGAGATTACAGCCTTTGTTGGGGAAGGTGATTAAAAAAGACCAAGGTACAGAGTTATAACTAAATCAGGACAACCAGTTTTTGCCCCATAGCAGGGATTTAACTAAGGGTAGGTAATTTAAAGAGCTCCAACAGCACTTGTCTTTCTAAACTCAGGAAAAAGGCCATATAGAGCCTGGTAGTAGGGCACGGATGGAACCTAATGATAGAGTAGAGTTCTAGTCATGGGAGGCCAGGCAGCAGGATTAGGGTGGGGAAAAAGAGGCCTCCCGCTAAGGGCTCACATCCACTGAGGTTATTCATCTGAGGTTATACATCTGGCAGAACTGAGTTCTGGTCTGTTGGGTGAACAGCAGTCAAGGGACACCTCATGGCACATCTCTCCTCATTAGGGAGTCAGCACAGATGCCAGTTATCCTGGGGATTAGAAGCAGACCTCCTGTCATGATTGGCCCAGTAGAAAAGGGATTATAAGGGGAACAAGTCAAAAGGGAGAATACCACAGCCCCAACTCTAGGGCCCTGCCTTCCCAAGGATATCTTTGCCTCTCTCAACCCTAGGGGTGTGGAAGGGGTGCTTTTGCATTTTCTAGGAATTATATTCTTCCCAGATACTTAAACTTTCCCAGTTGTCCGAAGTGGCAGAGATAGGGGTGGGAAGATCGAGTTATAGGTAAGTTTGATGGGCTCACTGTAAGTTGATAAAGGGATACTTCAGGGCCTTGGAGGCACTGTGTGGAGGAAAAGAGCCAGAGGAGGCTGCCCCAGAGTCAAGAAGTTATTCCCTAGACCTCAGAGTTCCTAGTGGTGGATACTTCTCAGCATGGTCCAGTCCCAGAAGTAGGGTGGTCCATTTCAGAGAGGGCAAAGCAGGGGAAGGATATAGTCCTTCACCCACTTTTAGAAGGCCTGTCATCCCATGGACATGATACTTCCATTAAAGCCTTATTTTTCCAAGTTAATCAAACTTTCCCAACAGAAGAGCCTAACTCAGTAAGCAAGCATTTATTAAATGCCTACTGTATACCAAGCACTGTGCTAAGATATATAAAAAAGAGCAAAAACCAGTCCCTGCTCACAAGGAGTTCACAATCTAATGGGCATGCAAACAACAATGTACGAACAAGTTGTATATCCAGATAAATTGGAGATAATCTTTAAAGAAAAGGCACTAGCATTAAAGGGGATCAGGATTGCTTCCTGAGACTATTTAAAATAACTAGACAGTATAAGGTTGGAATATTACTGTGGCGTAGGAAATAATGAGTTGGTAGACTTAGAAAAATATGGAAAGACTTGGACTTATGAAGGAGGGTGTTGTCTACCCTCAGAGAAACAGAGGACAAATAAGTATAATATGGTCTTATGTAGATGCATATAAATGTCTATGTCTGTATATGAAAATAATTATAGATATCTAAGCATATGATTATGTGTATAAGTATATGTATGTGTATATATATATATATGTTTATGATATTTATGTATGTGTGTGTTTATGTGCACACATATATAGGTATGTGAGCATTTGTGTATGTGTATATATATGTGTGTGTGTGTGTTTGTGTGCTTATATGTGTGTACATATATGTGTGTATACATATATAGGTATGTATATATGTATGTGTTTATATATGTATATACATATATGTGTATACATATATTGGTATGTGTGCATGTGTATATGTATATATGTGTGTACATATACATGTGCGTGTGTGTGTGTGTGTGTATCTCCTGTGTGTATATGTATATCTATGTTTAACTGTAGCCTTCTTGGGGGAGGCGGGGAAGAAGAGAAAAAAAGAACAAAGTAAAAAGTGCCCAGCAGAAAACAAACTCACAGGGAAGCAAAGGCAAGATGGACAGCTCTGAACACAATGTGCAGTATTTGTCACATAGGCTTTCTTGAAATGGAAATTTATTACTGTGTATTTCGAATCCTCTTTTACGTTCTGCTGTACACATGGCAATGCTTTTTGTTCTTTTCCTATTTTTTATTTAAGTTTTAGTATTTAAGTTTATAATGTTTCTTTTCCTTTTCTTATTGTGTATTTAAGTTTATATATATATATATATATATATATATACATAAAAGAAAAAGAGAAAAAGGAAAGGGATGGCTTCCTGTAGAAGGTGAGATTTTAGCTGGGACTCGAAGGAAGCCGTAGAAGCCAGGAGTCGGGGATGAGGAGGGAAAGCATGCCAGAGAGTCGGGGAGAATGACCCAAGTTATGAGGTGGAGTGTTTTGTTCACGAAACAGGAAGGAAACCAGTATTACTGAATTATAGAATGCTCGGTATGGGGCAGGGGAGGTTATGAGTAAAGTGTTAGGAGAGGGCTGGGTTATGAAGGGCTTTGAATGGCATACAGAGGATCCAGGAGATGATACTGAGCCACTGTAGTTTATTGAATAGGGGGATGGTAGGGTTCAACTAGCTTTTCAGGAAGATTAATTTGTCAGCTGATTGGAAGATGGACTGGACTTGGGAGAGACAAGGCAGGGAGACTAACCAACAAGATATTTCAGTAGTCTGGACTTGCTGTGATGACCTGCCCCACGGTGATAACAATGTCAGAGGGGAGAAGGGGATACTTGTAAGAGATGTTACAAAGGTTAAATTGACAGAACTGGGAAACAGATTGATTATAGGAGTGGGGAAAGAGGTGTCAAGGATGACACCTGGATTGTAAGCTTAAATGACTGGGAGGTGAGGGTTAGAAGATGAGCTTGGGGCCAGAATATGTTTGGAAAATCACATTCTCTCTCTCTCTCTGTGTCTAACACACACACACACACACACACACACACACACACACACAGACACACACACACACACAGACACACAGACACACACACACACAGACACAGACACACACACACACACACACACACACACACACACACACACCCCCAGTCTTGACAACAAGGACTATTGCTCTAAAACGACTACTGTCTGCATATCCTCTCTGGGAGGTCAAATTATAACAATGTGGTTGAAATAGGGCTGAACTAGGAGTCAAGAGTACCAGCTCCTGACCTGACACCATGCCCTAGCAGCAGTCTCAAGGTGTCCCAGTGTCTCCATTTCTCCTAACAAGGTGCTCTACCACCACTTCATCTGAGTGCACCTTTCATGTTACTTACCTCTGGAATGGTTTACGGTGCTTGTCCCAGTACAAAGGTCGCTGTGTATGGCCCTTCCAGGGCTTTCCTAAGAGGCCTTTCCATACTGTGTATACATAAAGATTGTTTTTTTTTGAAGAAAGAAGTTGCTATTTGAAAGGCATCATGCGTGCTCAAACTACAAAATGAAGTCTCCACTGTGGGGTCCTAAGTCTGGTGCAGTGGTGGAATTTTTGAAAGGAATATAATATTGTGCTTCATGTGGAATTTTAAAAATTAATATATTTTATTAATATGTTTTGGTTTTGCCATAGCTAGATTCCCCCTGTATCTTTCTCCCTCCTCCTCAAGAAGAACCATTCCTTATGACAAAGGTTTTTTTTTTTTAGAGGAAATAAAAAGAAAGAGGAAGAGAAAAAATTCACCATTACTGATTAATACATTGAAAAAAGTCTGACATTATAGGCCAGTTTAATATTTGCGACCCTCCCACCCCTTGTAAATGATTATCAGGATGAATCTTCTCGTATCTTTTTTTAGGGCCAAGCTTATTCTTTCTAATTTTACAACTTGCATATTCAATTGTTTGTGGTGGTTATTCTTTCCATTTGTTGTCATGTTCATTGTGTATATTTGTTTTCCTGGAACTGCTTACTTCACTTTGTATCCTGTCTTTCCATATTTCTCTGCAATCGTCATATAGTCTTAAGCAAATTTACAAATTCTGAAATCAATTCCTTGTTTTAATAAACATGGGAAGAGAAGAAAAAATGTGACTGGCAAGGAAAAGTGTAAGAAGGAGAACTGGTACTCTTTTAAAGACTTTAAAATCATGACCATATATGTTGAATTGGATCCAGAGACATGAGGCCATTCTACTATGGCTAGAAGAAATGAGATTCCCTTTATATAATTTGAGCCAGGTAGCATCTGAAGTTTGGGCTTTTGTTTATAGCGTCTTGGAAGCAGGAAGAT